TGTAACGTGACGTCTGGGCTGTAACATGACACTGAGCTGTAACATGCCGTCTGGGCTGTAACGTGACACTGGGATGTAACGTAACGTCTGGGTTGTAACGTGACACTGGGCTGTAACACGACACTGAGCTGTAACGTGACGTCTGGGCTGTAACATGACGTCTGGGCTGTAACGTAACGTCTGGGCTGCTGCTGCTGCTGCTGCTGCTGCTGCTGTAACTGCTACCACTGCCGCTGCTGCTGCTCCCGCTGCTGCTGCTCTTGCTTCTGCTCCGGCTGCTACAGCTACGGCTCCTGTTTCCGCTACTATTGCTGCTCATAGCGATGCTTTGTGATCTCTCACCTAACGTTTGTTCAAGATTGCGCTGGATTGTATGAAGCTTCGAGTCTCTATAATGTTACCGAAAACACGTCACTGCGTCAATACGCGGCAGTGATGCATCTGTCATTCAGGCTGTTAGTTATCATCAGCGGGTAATGTGATGGTGATGGGAGTCTTGTCAGTTTTCATCTGATATTACTTATTGCTATAGAGGGATAGAAGGCGCTGGATGCTTTTCGTGGAAGTAAAAATGTACTTTTGCATACCAGTTAGTAGCATAGCTAGCGGACTCGGGGTACACGATCGCAGTCCATGACAAACAATAAGAGCGATTTCTCGTGCGAAAACTGAGTCGTCATTGCCTTATATTTGTTTTACCGTCATTACCTACATGACGTGCATTACTTACATAATTACCTATCTTATCTGTTTCACCTTCATTACCAACATTGCCAGCCTGTAACACCAGTTTTACCTATATTACCTGTCCTACCTGCATTATCGGTCTTAACCTATCTTAGCTACATTACTTACGTTACCTGTTACCTTCATAACCAGCATTACCTGCATTACCTGCAATAAGTAAGCGCGGCCACGAAAAACGTGAAGACGGAGAACGTACGGAGAAATCAACATCGGCAAACATTTGCCTGTGTGCTTGCATCCATGCATGTGCCTGTCTGTGCGTGCGTGTGCATTCTTAGGAACCGTAGGTAAATAACTAACGAAGGTGTGTGCGTCACGGGATGATATCACCGACGCGTGTCAAGTCAGCAGCCCGGTGTGAAACGTATAGCCTGTCGGCGGTTGCGCATGCGCGTACGTGGCAGCGCTCCACGCGATCATAATGCTGTCCAATCAACGATTGACATAATTATTGGTGCTAATTGCATGCTTTCTAAGATGTCGTCGTGTCGTCCAGATGGATCTATCGTGCGCCCTGTAACATGAGTGAGAGTTAGGAAGCGGATTTCGCGAAGTTCTATATACGGTGCGTCGCTATCACAAACTACATTTACACTTTGGTCAGACAACCTCGTGGAAACGTGATGAATATTAAACACTACTCTCAGCCACCGCGACAGGTCGACGCATCGTTTGGGTGGGGGGTCTCCTCGTCCAAAGCTCTGTACATATAATATTATTATAATAATTATATTTGTTATGTTATAATAACGTGATGACGTGATAAAATCTGTCGCGTTCATCATGTGTAAATGTCGCACGGCTGCCATGCTCGCGATGACGTCACTGTGCACTTGCCACGTCATCGCTGACCTTCGGTGTCATCAAATGTCATCAATAGGAACGCGCGTGGTCGCATTTTATTGTCTGATTTTTTCCAGAGACCAGAATAATATATCAGGAGTAAATAATCACAAATGAAATTGTGAGATTGTGAAACGAAAAAAACAACATTTGTGATTATTTACTCCTGGTAATGTTTTAATAAGAGAGATACGCTGATAGGCTTGTTTTTTTAATTTGGGATGTCGCACGATTTATTTCACCGTATGTTTTTTCGTTATTGTGCTTGGCGGTGGAGGCGATGTGTTAAGCTAGTGTAGTTTGCTAGAATTGTGCTGTTCTGAATCTCATTGAATTACGGACTAATAAAGATACTTAGTTGGAGACCGGCGCACACAAGCGTACTTATGCGCGCGCATGTAACACGCGTACTTATAACACGCGTACTTATGCGCGCGCATGTAACACGCGTACTTATAACACGCGTACTTATGCGCGCGCATGTAATACGCGTACTTGTGCGCGCGTGCATGTGTAAGTGCCTGGCAGTCGCTGACTGTTGAAGGTAATTGTCAACGTTGATTGCGCAGCTACCCACCCGTGTTAAGGAAGAACTTCTGTACTAATTTTGAACTTTGTGCATGTTACACTAGTTAACTACAGGAACGAAATGCAAATATGCGTGTATATAGCAATCTAAGTGGAACCAACAGTTTCGACCCGTGATGTGTGTGTGTTTTTGCTGACAGGTACCAGCTCAACTACAATGCACTACGTGGTGTGCTGGTGTTTTTGTGACGAGCCTGTTGTATAGAGTTCGCCTCGTGACTAATTTGTATGTATTTTCGCAGGCGATTCGTTGGGTAATTTGAAAGCGAGCGAGTGAGCGTGTACAGAGAAGAGTATTGTTTACTTCCTTTTCATCGGCCGTCGTTTTATTTTATTTCTGAAAATGTAAAAAAATATAAATTGTGATTACGAAATAAAATGGCCTTAGATATTTACAGTTTTTGCAATTCGTTTTTGTTTGAGACTATAATTATGGTAATTTATACTACCCGTCTGATAGCAATCGATGTATTCACAAGATAATAATTCATGCAATTCTACTGGTGTCTTTATTAAATGTAACGATTTTTAAGTGTAATTGCTGAAATATATATGTTTTATTACATATATGCTGATGAACGTAAATAACTGGTGACAAGCTAATACGTTCTCAACGGTCGGCTGTGTCACAGTGCCAAGATAATAATTATATGGCTGCATATTGAACGTCGGGTGGCTAGAAAAAACTGGACGAAAACCTTTATTTTATCGTCGGACTTTATGCTGTTCTAAATGCACGAATCCCCCCCCCCCATTAACGCCGTAGCTAGTATAGGTTCCTGACAGTAGTGACTTTAACCGAAACGACGTTAAATGAAGCGCTATGCCATCTAATTGCGTTTCCAACAAAGGCAGCTTTTATATATATATAAAAGTTATTAATGCACTCACGTCTACGCTTCAAGCTTTTAAAAAAATAAATCGACATCGGGTAAAATTTTACTCAGTACATAGATTAGATCGAATAATATAGCCGACGCCGCAATGACAGTGGTATATTTTTCTTCAACGACGTTATAACGAAACAGCGTTGAATGAAACGTCTTGGGTCGTTGAACGAAAGGAACCTTGAACGAAAGGGGTCTTGGTGGGCAAAGAAATATTAGCGGTATCAAACATACCCGGAGCTTACTTGAACAGTCTCCGTAGCTGTCTCCGTCTCGTATGGATTTACGTACTCTAATTTTATGGAAGAGTAGAAAAACAAAGGCATTCTAACTACACGGTGTAGTACACACTTTCTCTCTCAAGTGAATACAGTGAGAGTGGCCGATCGACCCTGTAGGCCTATGACGTGGGAGACAGATGCAGGAGGGCAAAGTAGATAGATCAGTGTTACAACCATAGAACATAATATACAACAACAACATATACTATACAACACTATACTAGTTAGATCATAGGTTAGACTCTATATATTTTTCTAGTCTCTCTCTCTCTCTCTCTCTCTCTCTATATATATATATAGTCTCTATATAGTGTCTCTATACATTTCTATGGGTACAGCCGTTTTTCATTTATCATCGATAGATGGCGCCAATAAAAAAACATGGCAGCCCCTACACAAACCATGTCTAAAGTTTTCTTTACAAATATTTCCAAAATTCTCTTAAGACGGGATGTGTTTCGCCATGTACGCGTTCAATATTTAAGAACCAGTGAAAGATCTGAAATAGCGCAAGAGTCAGAGTACACTGACGAGCCGCAGTATCCCTCGCTGGAGCCGGTTTTGTTAAACACAAAAGATCCTGCACATGTTGCCTACCAGCAGAAGCTATGGATCGATCAACTTCGTGGGAAGCCTACTGTTCAGGACAAACTTGACTTTATTAGGTGGAGGCCAAAAGACGCGTGGCGAGAGATACGGCCTAAGATGAAAGACCAACGTGCCCCGGAAGTGTGGAAGCACTGTCCGTATTTGTTTAGACTTCATCCGATAAACAGGGTAGTTAACTTCTTACCTTACCAGCAATACATCACTAGGACGACGCTGGTGAATAGGCTGCCCGAGCTGTACAATTCCATGGATGTTGAGCCGCAAGTTGAACAGATAAAGACGCTATTTAAAGAGGCACTCATTACTGAAGAGTTGAGATACCGACATGATGCACGATTGGCAGCGCAAAAGCCAGGCGCTGTAACCTGCAGTGTGCTTGATCAGCTAGTGGGGCTCGTAATGCAAGCTTGTGGCAGTAAGCATGATCATTTGCTGACGGCAAAAGTTGATAATGAAACAAGACAGGAAGCGTTTTGGTTCGTAGGTGGTTTTCCCAAACGAGAGGAAAAGGGCGGCCACCTTCAGACCAAATATGGTATGGCGTTTCAGTACAAAGCGAAACCATGGTACTTGATACGCACACGTGATGCTCTGCCACAGGTAAACACTTAGTATTTACAATGTTGATTAAGAGAGAGTGACATTAAGCTGAGAATCGTTTGCAGATATTTACTTCACAAATTATAAATAAAGTCGTACGTAGTGAATACATTAAATGAAACATGTTATTATAAAATGAGTTCCGATACTCTTCTTATACATTTATCTCCAATCTTCGGTCATCACTTTGTGTTTGTCACACAAGGATCAGTGATATTGATATACCGAAAACCTACCACACATCTATACATATGTTTATGGCATGTGTGAACTATTTCTTTTTAGATTGTATCAAGAGATGACACTCTGAGTACAGAGGCAGAGGTGCCAGAGTGCAAATATCATCCAGTAGCAGTTGGCATGACATTTTATAGAGATGAGTTCTCCATGGTTCCAGGTATGATCCAACACAGTACCAAGTTCACAATGTTCCTAGAAGAAGTTGGAGTTTATAACTGTAAAAATACAGCAATGATGGCATCATTAGAAATTTATCCACTAGTCACTGAAAAGGTTACTGGTGTTCAGCGAAAAAAATACACGGGAGCGGCGAGCGATTTCGCTCCCGTCAGCTTTCAAAGCGCTCTGGTAACAACAATTACGAGAGCGAAAATTTTGGAAGATGCGAGAAAAAATCGCTCCTGTGCCACCGGCAGCGTTCGAACCGGAGGCCCGAGCCCACAGGCACTTGAAGCGTATCAACTGTAAACACACGCCGCCGCCATTGCGCGTACACTGACACATAAATATATAGTGTGTCAGTATATATTTATATATACTGTGTATATTTATATATACTGTGTATATTTATATATACTATATATTTATGTGTCAGTGTACGCGCAATGGCGGCGGCGTGTGTTTACAGTTGATACGCTTCAAGTGCCTGTGCCCGAGCCCACCACGTTTTTGCTCGGGCCACCATCTCTACGAAACTCCCGGTCGAGGACTGGCACTTTTTCCCCTCATATTACGATAATATTACGGTTAGCGCAACGGCAGACTTGTAAACGGGAGCGCATAATACGGCCCGTTTCTCAACGTAGACGGGGTATCCAAAACATACACATATACATTCTGCATGAACTCCCTCAACGCATGATTCGCCACACGAACAAAAACTCGCGACAGTCTAAGAAATCGATTGCGGGCATGTAGACAGTAGTGCAGTTTTTATGACCGCATAACAATAAGTTTTTATATCGCAGGGGTTATCGTGGGGAGTGAGGGCACGACCAGTGACACCTGACACGCACGTAATCAAAGCTGTTAACTGAATTCGTCACTTTTCTTAACGTAGAAAGTGGACTATTTTTATTCAGTTAGATATCTAGAAGCAATGTAAACTGTATATACTAGATTCTAGGCACTTGTAACTTTGCGGATGTGCGGCAGCATTGATCTATGCATGGGGGTACCGTGGACTGGGGAGGAGAAAAGCGAAAGTAAAACCTTGCCCAGAAGCTCCCGGCATTCCTAGAGATTACAAGTTTTTTTTAACATACTCAAGGTAACTAAAAACTCTCTCTGAAGTTCTGAACTTGCTCAGTCGATGTAAAAAGAAAGCTGAAAGATGAAAAGAAATGAAGTAAAAAAAAGAAACTTGAAAATAACCATACCATCATTACCATAATTATAATTCTGGATTTCCTGTCTTTGTCATGATACCTGATTATGTGTACCGTGTAGTGCATGTCTGTCTGTGTGAATGAAATTGAATAAGAATGTGTTTGGTTTCTTAGTCGAGTGAAATTAGATAAAAAATATGTGATCGAATGTAATTTGCCTGGCCCCCCCCCACTCAGTGTTAGTCAGGGTACGCATATGCTCGTTCCCTCCCTTTGAAAGCACCCCCCTATCTCAGGACTGCTGAAATTTCTGAACCCCCCGTTTGCGGGCTTTTTGCGGGTTTTTCCTGCCTTGGAGACCCCCCCTAAATCCGGAATACTGCTCAATGTACCCCCTATCTCAGGTGAGCTCTCATTCCAACCGTAGTGACGTTAGTGTAGCGTGTGGAACTGTCGAACCAGTCTACACTACGTAGTGTAGAGTTCAGTGATTGAGGGGAACTAGGGGGCAATATTTTTACATTTCAAAATTAAATAATCCTGAATGAGCTTTCAAAACTAGCAGGAATTTCAAGAATTTGATCCCGGGATTTGATAAAGTTTTCTATGATATTCAAGATGAAAGAGAGAGAGGAAAAACACCCCCTTTTTAAAGAAATCTCCGGGTGAAAAGTCAAATACACCCCCTGTTTTACAATTCTTGGGCCGGATTTTGTCATGCGAAAAATGCCCCTTTACCGGAGATTTTGGGAACGCGCATGCGGTCCCTCCGACCTCGGAGTGGGGGGCCGGGGTAATTTGTTGACGATTTCTTAACACTGACAGTCTGATACTAGTCCTGAGTGCTGAATGCTGATGAATGATATTAGAGTCAGTGCATCAAAATTATGAAAAATTTTTACAAAATCATGCTATGAAAAAGTAGCTCTGGCCAAGCCTAAAATAGCTCCCGTAAAAAAAATTACGAGAGTTCTTTTTTCATACAAAATCAAAAAAGAGCTCTCGTAAAAAAAAAGTAATTTTTAGGCTGCTGGTGTTATATTTGATTCTTTCTTACATAACCAGTGACTGTGATGTAGTACAATACTTTCACAGATTGTTTGTGGCAAACCTTATCGAAGGGTCCAAATATCAAATGTGTCCGTATGCCAATCTACTAATGTATGCAGCAGCCATATTTGTCTTGCACTATTTTGGCCCGACGATTACATGTAGCTCTGTTTCCACGATACTCATCCTGATATTACATGCAGCAGTTATGCTTGTAGGATTCAAGGATGGTGACACGAATGCATTCGGTCTGGTGCAATTCCATGAATGCTGTGAACAGACACGTGATCTGACGGAGCGTTTCGGAGCCAAGGAGGTAGAGAAACTCTGGCTTGGCCACGGCATAATCAGTTCATTCAGCTGGTTGCTCAGTCAGGCATTCTATCAAGGTGATTATACTCAAGGCGAGCAATTGAAGGAAATATTTTATCATGAACTTGAAATGAGTGAAGTGGCATGCGTATAGGCACCAAGTTGTGCTGCCTCATGTATTTAAAGAGTATGGAATCTTAGTTGTTACTACTGTTATTATTTATGTTAATAATGTAATAATAGTATTATTAGTAATCTTTTGTGTTTAATATAAATTGAATGTTTCAAGGGTGATTGTCTTATTATAATATATACACCACATCACGCTTATACTAAATTCTTTATCCACATCCTTGTTTTATCACCTGTGTTACACAATATTATTATCAATTCTTATGATTATTTAATCTAACCATCATTCCAGGGTTCGACCACTTTAATGACATCACATATCCATTGATCACCCAAAGCGTGATAACGAATGGCCAGTACTGGCAATTCTTCACTTATCAGCTGAACTCTACACAAGCAAGCACATATGGGACCAGCTACTATAGAAATATTTGCTGGGCAGGAGAGCGAATGAAGCTGTATGATTGCATTGAGGACGATCAGGTCTGTACAAGCTATGTACGGTTATGTTCGTGGTCTTGCAAATCGGTTGGCACAGTTGCAGCAGAAATATCACCATGAAAACAACCGCCCTTATCTAGAATTGTTAGCATTAGCATTTCTCGGTGTTTGTTGAAATTTATTTCTGAATATATTGTAGGACAGAGAGCAAGTGTCTCAGGTGGGCTATGTCAGCCTTTATCTACTCAGACCTGAGAATAATATGAGCAATGTTGTTTTTATTGGATATCTACTTTTGTTCTCGTTGTTAAAAGTAATATTTCTCGCCACTGCTCTTTCCACTTTGTTCCTCGCATAGATGAAGAAATGTCTGTACACTGTGCTATACTCATTACAATTGTTTACAGTTTGGACATGTCTGTAAATACAGTCGCACTGTTGTTATGATAACTTTTCCTATGCATTTCAGTATCACACACACTCACTCTCTCTCTCTCTCTGCAGGTGAAGGGTTTCAACGACGATGTATTGCGCTGGTGCCTGAAGTTCATGCTCAGGGAGCCGTTACTCAGAAACATCGAACGTAATCCGTACATCAGCACATCACAGACGGGAGAGACACACTAGCCTACAACAACAGGACCAGCAACACGTACAATAGTAGCAACAAGGACAACAATAGCAAGACCAGTGTCAACATAACAAAAATACCTACAGTAGCAGCAGTAGCGGTAGCAGCAGTAGCAAGAACAATAATGACAACAACAGTGTCATGACAGAAGAATATGATTAAGAACAGCAGCACTACCAGGAATATCTAACACCAGAATTTATTGCTAAATTATCCCAAATTGCTACAGAGTATAATAAGCACTATCCATTGTAGGAGGAGTGTTAAATAGACTAGTGATATTGAATTATAGATACCAGTTGTGAAATAAATTTTGTTTGATCTAAATCTAAAACAAAACAGAAAATTATTCAGTATTTTTTTATGAAATTCTATCTGACTGTACTCATATACCTGTACCACACAAACAATATTGCAATGACAGAAACTTTATAAAAACCAGTATATTAAACTATAAATAGCCATAAGCATTTAGTTGTTAATGGATGATACCAAGAACATGTATACATATGTGTATACAACAAACAAAAACTGCATAATCAAAATACGATACTTAGGCATACACTTGAGTAAGTAAGTGGTCCCACCCTTATACTGCTATACTACTATAACGTGAATGAACACGCATGCACGAATGTGTGCGTGCGTTTTTATATTTGGCCCCATGTATTTACTTGTAGAGAATGATACCAGTATAGACGATTTAATCTACAAAGTGTACGAGGTAGTTATGTAGCTTTAAATGGGCCGTAATGTGCACGTACGATTACATTCCTTACAGCAATTAGTTTGAAAAGCATGGCTAGCCATGTTATAACGTGAATGAGAGGTTATTGACTGCAGAGAGCTGCTCATCAGGTGGTGTCCACTGAGCTATTGCCTGCTGCCGCCTCTCTTCCTGCAGCCAGTACAGCATCTCTGTTCTATCCCACTTCATCTTGTCCTCGTAAGGACGACCCTATAAAATGTATCACAGTGGCACGAAAGTGCTTACTAGAGCCACTGTACATGTAATACACGTGTGTGTGCCGTGAATGTAAAATGACGTCACGGAAGTACGGGCGCCTATTTTCAGAAACGTCATAAATTGTTATGACATAAGTCTAGAGTTTTACACGACACTTCACATCAAAATTCATGATGTTTTGGACTTATTGACGTCACGACTATTTGAGATATTTTTGGCAACAAGCCCCTGACGTGTACCTGTTGATGTCAAGAAAACCTTGGACTTTGTTTGCAGTTACGAGGTAAAGGCGTACCTTGTAGGTGATCGTGTCGTTGCATAGCTGTGAGACCTGCCGTAGAGCCTTGGTTATGAAGGGCTGCAGGGATGCGAGTCTGTTATCCAGCTTCTCTCTGTAGGCGGCTTCTCTCAGCCTCTCACCAGATGACTCTAGAAACAATCCCTCGTTGGATTACTGTGTCCTCTAACTATACGTGGCTACAGTAGTGTCAAAAGGTTGTACAACGCAACTGTGAACAAACTCGAGCTGGCACAATTATTACCTGACAGGAAGGCTACAATGAGAATGTGTGTATACTGTGCATTATCCAGCCAGTGCAACTAATTTGTTGAAACTGTGTTTTTCCATTGTTCGGTACTAGTCTATTTCATCAAACGCAGAGGGAGGCACTTGACGTCTGAGCATTTTCTCAACCACCTTGACCTACCATGTCTTACACACCCCGTTCACTTAGCCAGTATCTTTACCTCTATTGAAGAACCTTGCTGGGTCGGAAGCAGTCCTCTCAAACCTTTCCAGCTTTGCGATAACCTTCTCCCTGTCTATGACCAGCTGAGCAGACTGCTCCCACAGCTCAGCAGCCTGCAGCAAGAGAAGAACCAACCTCTAAGAAACACGTTTGTCTGGTGAAGCGAAAGTTGCGATAAAAGCATCTTCGTCTCCCTGCTGTCATAGACGTGTGTGCATCTCGCTTGGACACATGGAACATCATGCCATCGTATGTTCAAACGTCACCTTACGACCAACGACACAATGAAGGCTGACCTTAACAGATCTAGCTGAAGAGAGATTCGTGACAGCCGAGGGAATGACCCACTGCGAGAGTAGCCGTCAAAAAGGTACAGTGCAAGCCGGGGAGCGCCGTACCTCGTCGAGATGTCTGGCGTATCTGCCGGAGCTGTACTTCAGAGCCATGTCCAGCTTCTGCGCGTCTGTCATGCACAGCGTGCTCCACACTCTCTCCAGTCTCTCGCAGGCACTGGGCTGCTCGGAATCCATCGCCTCGCCGCCTGACTCGGCAACGCTGCTGCCGCCTGGCGGAGCCGATACACCATCGACGCTTCCACGTTCTGGTTTACGTGAGATCGCCCTGTCCTGTCGCTCTGCTGCCCTGCGTTCCCTGAAATGTTGAAACAAATATTCGTGGTGAGTAGTGATAATGGCTTGAAATCTAGAATTATCCATGTTCTCGTTTTTCTGCCCGAAAGTTGTGTAAACATTCAACTGCAATCATTGTTGCGAACCGCAGACCTTATGTGTCCTTCCTCTTTTTCTTCTGGGATCAGTGATTCTTTATCTTGCTCATGCTGGTGGAAAATGACTGTCAAGTAGTCTGTGTCCTGCCATTGTAAATCGGAAAAAAGGAGATTCAGATGTTAACATTTCAACATGCACGCACTCACTCACCCATGCGCCGATGCATGCATGCAAGCACGCGCCCACGCACTAACACACACACACACACACACACACACACACGCATGCATGCATGCACACACACGCATGCATGCATGCACACACACGCACGCATGCACAGACACACACACGCATACACGCATACACACACCTGCTGTTGTAGCCAGGTCATGTAGCCGGTGCTACTTAGAGGTGGCCGCCACGATCGGCCATCTTCACAGCACTGCAGTAGCTGGCAGGGTCTATAGAGGCAAAACACGTTGCTTCAATAATGGTTGATAAATAGGCATTATCTAATACTCACATATCACGTCTGCCTCGTAACACCATTCTTCTTTCCATCTCCTCTTCCTACCCCACCCTCACCTATCCTTGCTTCCCTTCTCTCACCTCACTGCCACTTTATCTCAGCTTACTCCTACCTTAAGTTTTTGCCTTCAATCTCCTCCTCCTACTACATCCTCTAACCTGTCCGACGGACAGTGTCCGTGCTCCCTATGCCTGTTATCTCTCCCGCTTATCTTCACCTCCTACGTCTCACCCCACTACTCCCTGCTCTCACCTCTGGAATGCGCGTGGCTGCTCAGGGCAGCTCACATACTGCTCGTGCAGTCTCTCGTTGATGATCGGCACAAGCTGCTCATTCCGCAAGAGCGCCGACGTCACGAACGGTCGCAGCGCCGCCGCCTTTACCTCAGCCGCCGGCTGCAGACGTATGTTCTGTGCAGAGAGAGACAATGTTAACAGACACATCTGTACAAGTAAGATAACCACTCGCTCCCTGCCTTGGATGTTATCGCTCGGTCGGTTAAGCTCGCATGGTTTGTAAGCGGTTCACAGGTGCATGCACGGAAAAATGTACTTTGCGGTATTTCGTTGCCAAGCACTGCCTTTAGAATGTCATATCGAAATGCTGACTGGCCAGTGTTTCACGTCAGTCATACCAAGCAGATAGGTTAGTTGCTGTGGTTGCTGGTAATGGACTCTTAGTTCCGAACGAACATTCATCTGATAACCATATCACATAGAGTTTTTATTATACTTTATGTGAGGAGATTTACTAAAACATGCTCATTCGTACAATCAGGTATCCATTCACAAAAACGATAATAATCTGCATGGTGCATATTCACAAAATTAACAGGAAAGTCCTAGCATTGCTGCCAATTTAAGTGCATATAAAGCGTGTAGTTTTTTCTGATACTTTACTAAGGCCTAGAACTCCAGGAGCAAGAATGAAACTACACAGAAAAGGTCGTCCGTTTTTGAATAGATACTTGCTACGACATGAAATTGGTGTCTTGAAATTCATGTACGACTTTGGTGGTAGTGTGTAGTAACTAGCTGTCTAACTATCACTAAATACACACACTTATTGTTTAGGATTGTTAATAACGATAGTGGCTGAGAATGACAAATAGGAAGACAGACGATGATGAAGAGGATATGTCAAATGTTGCGATTAATGAATCAGGTTACGTTTTCTATGTCTAGGTATTCCTCACAGGCAGTCTTCATGATCTCTCTATACACCTCTGCTAGGTGCTGCTGCAGAAACAGGTTCCTGTCTAGCCACTGTACATCGGCCCTGCTAATCTGCAATGGGCATACCATGGTAAGTTCTCGGGGCCAAAAGGCTGCTTGTACAGAAAACTCAAATTACAAATTTTCAAAGATCAACTCAAATGACAAAAAACTTCAAAAACGTCGAGCGACGATTAAAAAAACATGTCACAATTGCTGCAATAATGAATTTCGTGAGTGATCTGTGCACAGCAGAAACGCTGTCGATGTGACATTACGGTGAATTACATACAGAATGTAAATTATACATTAATATTATATTGGTAGTACATACCTCTTGGTTTAAGTGGTTGTAGATGACGTTGTAGGGTTTCAACAAGATTTTGGATGGCCACACCCTCTCTGATACCCTCGCTGCAGAAGCTTGCACCACCATCTAAATAAATGTAAATAAAATGAGTAAGTAAATGGACCATACCCTATAGTACTTGTTAATGCTAGAGATGCATCTGCCGATATATCGTAGTTATAACTCGAAAAAAAACGTAATTATATATTTCACTCATACCTGATTAGGAAGTGTTGATAAAACTACATCGCCCTGTGGTTTACTTTTGGCAGCGCCTTGTTTTCTGTCAAACAGAGGTACACATTCAAGAAAAGAGCAAAATGCACAAATATACAGGGATAATAAACTAGTTAACCATTATTGAGTATAATAAACTAATAATGACTACAAGGAAAATTACTAGAAACTGAGTTGAACAAAGCAAATGAATTTCAATAAAAAAAGACATAGGGCCATTCTGGGGCCATTTCATCTTCTTTCACTTCATCTCTAAAAATCAATTAAAAATTCTATAGGAAAATCGAAGAGCCGTCGAATGAAAGACATTTATAAATGCCAGAAGGAGATGTACGTGTCGACGTCTGCCATACTGCTGTATACATCTCGAACCTTATTTCTGCTCGCTGTTGCTGCTGCTGCCTCCTCTGCTCTTGCTTTTGCAGCACTAACCGAAGTCTTTCCTGTAGCACTGCAAGTCGTGCGGTTCTCTCAGGGCTTCGAAGGTCGGCCTACATCATGGAGATGTTTAACTCATTTTACAGCACCTTAGACGTGCAATAGACCCTTTCACAGAGACTTGACAAGCTCTCCTACAACTTTGGAACTACGAGCAAGTTTACCCAATTTTAGTAATCAGTGAAATTTTGGTGGGCACACTTGGCACCATGTAAACAACCCGACGAGAACTGCTGATGGTTGCGCGTAGGTTTGGGCAAAAATGTCCATGCACACATGTCGTCAAGCATTTCATCATAAATGGAGAAATACAGTAAGATAACAATGACCTTCAACAACGGAGGAAGGTTGCACTCATCGACAGCATGTGTCCCTCGCATAATGTCCTCCTTTGCCTCCTGCTCAGCAATGGCCGCCTCCTTACGCATGACAAAAGAACAAAAACACTTGAGTATCACGCACACGATGATGAAAGAAATTCCCAACGACTCATCGGCGAAATGTATGTATTAGCATGAATACACCAAACACATTCATCCCTATTGAAGTTTGTTGGCGTCTTAGAATCGGCTGCTAATAGGGAAACAAGTGCACTTGACGATACCTGAGAGAGAATTAACATACAATTAAGTATGTAGCCCACCTCTGTGTCAGTCGTCAGCGATGAATCAGATTCTGAAATCTCATCTGAGGGCAAGGGTGATCTGCACCCTTCCACACCATCCAGAGGCAAGTTTTGGACTGCCTACAAGCAAGGTTGATAATGAACAAGAAAACATTTAAACAATATATGTTAATAGTTATTTTTTTCATGTTAAAAATAGTTGTGAATGTAATATTAATAACAGCTAGTGTCATCTAAGCATAGCTCTTGGAACTATTAGTCTCGTTCTGATATTAGGACTGAATTCCATCATGGCTGTCTGCTGAGTATTTCAATAATAAATCTGATGTTATTTGACTTATGCTTTAATCAGAGTCTTTCCTGTACAACATAACAGTGAACACCTCACAAAATTTCTCACCCCATGCGTATCCACCGTGACATTTTGTTCCACAGAGTCACTGTATAAAACTGATTCCTTTCTGGGAATAACAAGGAATTCAAATATAATTGATTAAATTTCAGTGTACTAATATTTCTTCATAAAATTTGCACACACAGTAAAGAGTCTTAGCTTATATCTATATGAAGTTTAATTGCATACATATCTTATTGAATTAAAACTATTTGCTACACAGATACGCAGTCATATATTAATTCGGTAACGCTCTATATGTCTTGCCAATAAAGCCAAAAAACAAAGATCCGTTGACAAAAACAGGTTCCCCATTTTTTTCACACTATTTCTGATCGAGTCAATGACAGATGCACTGCTCCAATTCACAGACGCATGAACAGGGGTCTGGTGGATAACAGATACCATTAGCAACCTACTGCTCGTCTGTCACTGCCAGCGCTGTGTCACGTAGCCATGGTGACGGCACCTCGGGACAACTTGCTCTCAGTGATGTAAGTTTTTCGATGTCGATACTTGGCATCTTTCTCTGCATCTGCAACAAAGAAATCTCAATACGCGCACGACAATGTCTCTGGCCTCTTTATATTAGTGCCACGTGACAATGGGTGCCATTTCTGAGTTCCTTGTTAAGTATGGGTTCCAGTGAAATTTTATCAGCTTCATTAAAAATGCGAACTCATTTAATAAAGCTTTACTAACTTTATCATAAACATAATTACCTCATCCAGGTTTTTCTGAAGACTAGATTTGCGTGCTTTTAACGTCTGCAATGCCACTCTATACTGGAAAATGTTGTAGAAATAACAAATTTACCTCAGTAAGAAAACAGCACGCCACAAATGGACAAAAATGAGTCACATAAAAGACAATTCGTATCATCAAAATGTATGGTAGCATGTACCAATGGTCTTGGAGTGAATGCGTGATCTGTCAATGTGCTTTGCCCCATGTGAACAGTCGCTGTTGGGCCAGAGAGCTTAGTAGGTATGGATAATCCCCTCATTTCACACAAGACATCTCTCAAGATGATGTCAACACACAGCCTACAATAAGAACACATGCTGACAACATATGAGTATGCATAACCTCTAGCATAAGTATCAATGATACACATTGAGTGATTTGCGGTGTTGCTGGAAAAGCTACTATGTGTTACCTTTCCTACATCATCTTCGAAATCTGTTCCAAGTTCCACGTAATCACCAGACTTTAAAAAGTTTCTTTACTATTAGACATCATTCATTTAAATGTGTATCTATATACGAATACATCTTATGCTCTTCAGTACATACGCACATATTTGCTATATTTACTGTCAGCTGGGACCTCAGTCGGCTATAGTTGGCATCAGCATTGAATACACCACGGCGATTTAACACTGGAATATATATCACAAAAACGTTAGGTTTGTGGAAGATTGACACCTTGGATACAAAGTTTATGGTACAATAATAATGCATGCACAATTATGTTGTATATCTGTGACTGCGAATACAACTGTACATAGTAATGCATATTACTTCAATTATAACAACTATATATAGCATTTGTAAAATATACAGCCTTTATTTATAAAGTCTGATGGTACCAATGTTTACCACATGCATGCAGAGACACGTTTCATTACACGGTTATATGTGTAAACATTCATTGTATAATGATCTCGATGTATATCTACTACTAAGTCTGAGGAAATTAACCCAATCCTAGAACAGCCATTATAAACAGCCGTATTTACTCTATACTAGAACATTTACCATGTGACTTGCGAAGACAAGATTGAAAGAGTTGCTGGCATGTGGAAATGATTTGCACAACCACCCTTTTTAACATCTCCGCATTCTCATCAGCCGTCTGAAACAGTGTATATATACAAATCAGTATCGAATTCAACAACTCTAAAGCAATGGTGCCACATTATTTAATACTACTCTTACATAAAAGAATGCCTTTCAAATCGAGTAGAAGTACATGTACTGACCACTGGTTGGCTTGACACACGTCTCCTTTCTTACATCGGTACCGGACATATTATGCATATGTCAATATAATAACTACACAGCCACAACACTATCAATGCTCACCAAATATGGGCTTCTCTGTATTTGATGGAAATCATCCCATATACTTCTCAGTTCTGACAAAATTATCTGCACCTAAAATATATTAACAATATGAAAAATTTTCATTGATTATTTACATTTGTGTAAAACAATAAATGTATGTATGTGGGCACCAAATGAAAGAGTAAGTTTGGAGACAGTAAGCATGAGAATAAGTGGGAGATCAGGTGAATGACTGTGACAATATATACAGAGAAGGAGAGAGAGAGAGAGAGAGAGAGAGAGAGAGAGAGAGAGGAGGGAGATAGACAGACACAAACTGCATGCAGCGCCCCCTTCGTACAACTCAGGATACCACTGCCACAAAGCTGGTGCTATTTTTCAAGTGGGCGGAGCTTCAGGTTAATCCAGCGAATGGCAATCCAATAGCCGCGTATGATTTGAAAGTAGTAATGAGCACACAATCCGCGCACTATTTCGTATCACTATTTTATCAAATTTTTCATAAAATAATGGTCGGATTTTTAATATCTTTGCAACTTTTATTAGTACAAATCTTATTACATAGGATACGCATAACCTGGCCGCTGTAAAACTTGTGGTAAAAAAGCGTTAGAAATTATAACGGAAATCTACTTGTGGCAGTGGTGAATTGAGCCCGTGTGAGAGCGTCATCTGTCGTGGAGTTTGAGACAGACAGACAGTCAGTCAAAGACAGAGGCAGAGAAAGTGACATAACTTTCGATTTCGATAATGCATATCGTGCAAATTACCAATTGCTGTTGCCAGCTTAATGGAACATCCGGTAGTTGTGACTGTAGCTTCAACCATGATTGGACAACATTCACCAGGTCTTCTGCAGTCTTTGGAATGGTTCTCACACAGTCCTGCAAAGTGACATGTCTCACAGACATAAGGAGTGTTTCATACTCATAGGCATTCGCACTGGTCACTGACACAGATTGTGCACAATTTTACCATAAAATTGTTTCATAATTAACCCATTCCTAACAATTTCACTACAACCTAGTTCATGTCCAGCTGGCCCCAGCCATCCCCATTCATCTCTATAAACAGGCTAAAACTTAATTACACAGAATTAACATGCTATATCTTTACTAATAGGAACATTATAGTACTTACATAAATTGTGTCTGTGCCAGCAATTACATAATCCCAGTCAAAAATGGGTTCTGGAAACATTGCTACCATGTTATTACACTGTTAATAAAACTTTGCATTGATACAGACCTGTACTAGATCATTATTTAAATTAAAATTAAAAATTGTTTTTTAATATTTGAAATTTACAGATCAAACCTAGCTGAAGCTACACGTAAAATTCAAAAACATATTAAAAGACAAGATTGTGCACCTCTAAATTTACATGGTATGTTATATGTTATAAGTAATAAAACTTACTGTATTCATGTGCATATGGTGCAAGCTTTTGAAGAGGTCGAAGAATGTGTTCTTTTCTTTTCTTGATAACATTCTAGTAGAAATGCACTTATGCTCAACATTAATTGCTACCAGTTAATAATTTATGACCACAAACCAGGAATTGTTAAGCCCTATTAGTGTTAATAATTATATAGACGTTTACTATGATTCTTGTGCATGCATTCCATCTTGCTGAGATTAAATTGCTGAAGGAAAGCTAATGAGTTGCATATATATATCACATTTTATCGCTCGATCTTGTACCTTGTAATTTCTGGAATGCATTGCTTCCATAACCCAGAGAATTACTCTATATATAGCTGCGTTCACACGAGATACACGACCTCGCTGGTTCCGTACTTATCTGGTGCTGAATTCGGCTGAAATACCGTGCTAACACAACCCGCAGCGTTCACACGATAATCGAGGCTTAGCTGGCTAGGTATAATATAGACTGGTACCCGGTCGACAGTTCCACACGCTACACTAACGTTGTGTAGCGAACGGGTACCAGTCTAGGTAAGCGCACTACAGTTTCGCAATTCGAAATTGCGTTCACACGACAGACAATACGCGGCCAGCGTGGTGCTGAATGTTTCAGTGCGGAATCACATTCCGTGCCGAGTAAGCCGCGTATTTCAGTACGGTACTGAATAAGCCGCGTATATTTTTACAGTGTGAACGCTCAAGTACAGTACTGAAATCCTCGTGTGAACGCAGCTTATGTTATACACCAATACTACTACAAAAACAATTCCGTTATAACACGGATGGCAGCACGGTCGCAGGTGTCAATTGCGCCGTTCAAATTTTGTAGCGTTAATGTATAATTAATTATAACAATTAAATTAGGTATCTGGTAACAATTAAGTACGTGTGGGTATAGACAATTTGCTATACAGTAAGTACAGTTGTATGCAGTAAAATCCTAGAGTCTATACTATCTCTTTAAAACAGTTTATGTTTCAACCCTAATCTACTTTGAAATATATTTAAAAATGCAAATTTATGCTCACAATGTTTGTTGTCACTTTCTGTATAGGATATAATGGACTGCTGCCCGTATCGTTTCTGCTGCCATGTGCTGAATGTAATGGGTAGAACAGTCCAAGAGTCTTGCCAGCAACTGCCATTTTCAGTTTGGTCTTTTAGTCGGACGGCCCGGTTGGCCTTATTTGGGGTATCAAGGTAATTCCTGAATAATTCATCTAAAATTATAACAAAGGCTACTAATTAAAATTGATTGGAGCTACCAGCAACAACAAGCCAACTGAGTAGGCTATAGTCCTATATCACTAGGCCTATAGTGATATGTCATGGTCACTGGTAATCCCTAAACCTAGCTCTACCGACAGTGTAGCTCCTTCGCTCCTGCTATAGAGGGGGCTTCCTCGCCCCCGTAGCAGCTAGGAGCGAAGGTATATAGATACAATATTCAATAATAATTATGTAACCAAAACACAGGGGTAGGGGAAGGGGCTACACCGGTAGAGCTATCCTAGCCCTAGCTCTAGTACTATAGCCCGCGGATCGCTGCCGCAGGGCTATAGCACATTCTGCCATAGATGTAATCTAAGCAAATGATCCAACTGATGTGACCAAAAATTTATCTCCAAAACGTAAAATGATCGGGCTTTTTAACACTTATCTATCAACATGGACATCTCACCTATCTTTTTGAACACTTCCACAACTTTACACCAAGTATTTATGCTGTTATTCCTCAAAGTCTTAGCACTGAAGAGTCACGCGTGCACACATAAGCAGAGCAACCGCATTTGAAAACAAAACACCAGTAGTGCTAAGACTTTGAGGAATAACAGCATAAATACCTGGTGTAAAGTTGTGGAAGTGTTCAAAAAGATAGGTGAGATGTCCATGTTGATAGATAAGTGTTAAAAAGCTAGATCATTTTACGTTTTGGGGATAAATTTTTGGTCACATCAGTTGGACCATTTGCTTAAGCTAAAGTCACACTGGGGCCGGACTGTCCACGGATTACCGCGGATGGGGCAGGATCTCCCCGGACCGTAAAATTTATAATCCGTGGCGATCCGGGTGAAAAAAAGCATCATCGGGCCGGATCGGGCCGGACCAGCACGGCAGCGCCACGGATCATCCTGGATTGAGCCCGGATGAAGCCGGCCCCAGCACGGAGTCACTACGGCCCGCCCCGGACCGCCCCGGACTGCCTCGGACCGCCACGGACCTGATCCGGCCTGGTCCGGCCCCGTCCTGGCCCATCCGTGCTCCCATCCGTGTTGGGTCCGGCTTGATCCGTAGTGATCCGTTGCCGACAAAAACGACACAGATGGCCATGGATGGGCCCGGTTCAACACGGTGCCACTACGGACTGTCCCGGACCTACCACGGACGCGCCACAGACCGTCCAGGACCACCCCGGATGGCGAAAACTTTCCGGACCGTCCCGGATCACCCCGGCAATTTTAAACAGTTTAAAACATCCGGGGCGATATCCCGGAATGCGCCGGACCATCAAGGACCACCCCGGACCGTCCAGGACCGTCCAGGACCCAACAAGGATCTCTCCCCGGATCAGTCCGGCAGCGTCCGGCCCGGTCCGGGAGCTTGGTGTGACTTTAGCTTTAGATTACATCTATGGCAGAATGTGCTATAGCCCTGCGGCAGCGATCCGCGGGCTATAGTACTAGAGCTATCCTAGCCCCTACCAGACGGGGTAGATTCGTGGCGATATGTATCACTGTAATGTATGCCCTCAATACTCTGCCAGTGCCAGCAGTGTTGTGATGACGCACCTACTGACGCTCTAACGCTCATAGGGTCTATGTCCCCCAGGGTACTGCCGTAACGTACCCTGGGTACGGTCCGGTATACACCCTGGTCACTATTTGATATGGTTAGGGTTAGGATTAGGGTTAGGGTTAGGGTTAGGGTTAGGATTAGGGTTAGGGTTAGGGTTAGGGTTGGGATTAGGGTTAGGGTTAGGGAGTAGGCGTAGGCGACTCCCTAGACTCGTTAGTGGAGTAGGCGAGGTATACGGTCCGGCATATTAAATAGTACCAGGGTACGTTCCGGCAGTACCCCGGGGGACATAGACCCTCTCAGCCCTACTGACTGTGAGATAGCTCTAGAACTATTCTAGAGCTAGCCACAAGTTCCCATCTCGCTTAACACTACGTGGTTACAGTAACAGTCGTGGGTCGTGTAACAGTCGGAGAGCCTGGTCGGTTTATTCTAGAGCTAAATTAACTGTGGGACTGCATGAGTTATCAGACTAGCGGCTATCAAGCCTATATTCATGCGTAGTGTTTGCTAATATGGTGTAGCATCTTCTGTATTTTCCGCGTTATACCTCACTATCTTACCCGTCTACAATTCCAAGCTTTCATTATATTCAGAGTGATTACGCAAATAAAATCTGAATCGTATCACTGACACTGTTGCTACAACGCAAGAGGGGGAATGTTATTTCTACTCGTAGTTCTACATTCTCCCACTACGTGACGCGCGGGGTCCTACTAAACAGCAAAGGACAGAAAGATGCGATATGATATGACTACTAGGCACTTAGGATATGACTACTAGGCACTTAAAAAAAAAAAACCCTAACCCTAACCCTAACCTAAACCCTAAACCTAACCCAAACCCCAACCCTAACCCTAAAAAAAAAAAAATTTAATTAAATTAAAATGCCTAGTAGTCATATCATATCGCATCTTTCTGTCCTTTGCTGTTTAGTAGGACCCCGCGCGTCACGTAGTGGGAGAATGTAGAACTACGAGTAGAAATAACATTCCCCCTCTTGCGTTGTAGCAACAGTGTCAGTGATACGATT